TGGGTTTTCATAATTTTTTATGATCATAGATCATACCCTTTAATTTCTAGATTAAACTGCACTTAGTACAGTTTTTATCTGAAATAATCAGAATTTGATAATATTGTGTTTAACATTTTTACATCTATAGTCATAAGTGAAATTGGTTTATGGGGTTTTTTTTGTATTATTCTTGTCAGGGGCTAAAGTACTGATACTCTATTTTTAAAACTAGTGCTATGGCTATTATCTAGGTGACTGGCAATCAAATAGGATGAATTATAGTATCCAAATCTACCTCAGCCATCTGAGTTGCAGAGTTTAGAGTTCAGCTTTTAGACAAAATGAATGCGATGAGTAAACACATACTTTAATTTTCTTTGTACAGGTTAAAACAACTTTGAGAACCACAGCTATGCGAATATAACACCAAACTAGTTTGTAGATTTGGAAATTAAAACTTTTAAATCATTCAGATTATCACCCATAATTGCATAACACATATATACAAAAAATTAGATTGATTTTCTTTCTCATTAACTGAATCGCTGAAAAAATGTTGGAATCCACGAAAACACTCAAGCCAAAACAAATTTTGTTAAAAATTGGCATAAGATCAAAATTTTTGTATCATAGAAATAAATGGTCATACTTCTCATGTTAACCACTATGAATAGTAGGAAGTCAATGGTAAACGCAGTTGAAAGACCTAAGCTTCAGAACTGCAAACTAGTAGCAAGATACAAAATCAACATGCAAAATATGAGTTGTATTTCTATATACTAATAATGAATTTTGTTTTGCCAAACAAAATTAGATGCCAATAAATGTTAATACATCCTGTGCTCATGAATTGGAAGAAAATGTTGTTAAAATGTCCATACTATTCAGAAAAAAATCTGTAAATTCAATGTAATCTCCATCAAAGTCCTAATGACATTTTTTTGCAGGAATAGAGCAATCTGACCTAAAAATCATATAGAATTTAAAGAGTCTTCAAATAGTCAAATCAATCTTGAAAATAAACACACTTCCAGATTTCAAAACTTATTATAAGGCTACAGTTACCAAAACAGTATGGCACTGGCATAAAGAATGACATACAGACCAATGGAGTACAATACTGAGCCCAGAAATAAATCTCTGCATATATGATCAAATGAATTTCAACAAGAGTGCCAAAACCATTCGGTGGGGAACAAACAGATAATGCTCTTTATCTTTTCAATAAAGAGCACTGGAAAAATAGATACCCACATGCAAAAAAATAAAGTTGGACCCCTACTATACACTATATACAAAAATTAAAGAAAATCAAAGATCTAAATGTAAGGACTAAGAAGAAAACATAGGAAAAAACCTTTATAATATTAGATTTAGCAATAATTTCTTGCATATGACACCAAAAATACTAGCAATAAAAGAAAAGAATAAATTAGACTTCATCGAAAAAAAATTTTTTAAAGCTTTTCTGGCCCTGACTGGTGTAGCTCAGTAGGGTGGGCATTGTCCTAAAAATCAAAAGGTTGCTAGTTCGATTCCCAGTCAGGGCACATGCCTGGGTTGCAGGCCAGGTCCCTGGTAGGGGGGCCTACAAGAGGATTGATGTTTCTCTCATACACCAATGTGTCTCTCCCTTTCTCTATCCCTTTCCCTCTCTTTAAAAAAATAAATTAATAAAAAATTAAAAAATTATGCATCAAAGGACACTATCAACAGACTAAAAGAGCAATGCATGGAATGAGAGAAAATCCTCACAGGGGATTAATATTCAGAATGTATAAAGAACTTGTACAATTCAACAACAACAAAAGACAACCCAATTAAGACGTAGTTAGGGACTTGAATAGACATTTATCCAAAGAAGATATATAGATAGATAGTAAATATATAAAAAGATATTAAACTTCCCTAACCATTAGGGAAATGCAAATCAAAACCACATACCACTTCACATGCATTAGGATGGCTAATATTTAAAAAAAAAAACAGAAAATAACAAGTGTTGACAAGGACTTGAAATTGGAGCCCTTGTGCTTCACTGGTGGGAGTGTAAAATGGTGCAGCCACTCTAAAAAGCAGTGTGATGGTTCCTCAAAAAATTACACATAACATAGCATATGATTCAGCAATCACACTTCTGTGTATATACCCAAAATCATTGAAAGCGGAAACTCAAGTGGATATTTATATGCCAATGATCACAGCAGCACTATTCATAATAACCGAAAGGTAAAAAACTTGCAAATGACCAGCAATGAATGAATAAAATGTGATACATATCCATACAAACAAATATTGTACGACTTCACTTATATGAGGTACCTGGAATGGTCAAATTCATAGAGACAGAAAATGGAACAGGGTTTTTTCCCCAAGGGCTGGAGGGAAAGGGAATGTAGGTATCACTGCTTCACGGGTGCAGAGTTTCAGCTGGAGAACATAAAAAAGCTCTGGAGGTAAATGGCAGCGATGGTTGTTCCACAATGTGAATCTGCTTAATGCCAGCAAACTACACAGGAACATGGTTAAAATGGTAAAACTTACATGTATTTTATCACAAGAAAAAACATTCTAAATTGCTTGAGGTGAGGGATTACCTTCTCTACATACAAAATTTCTATCCAATGAGAGCCTCTGGCATGAAATGAAACTCAGCTTTTCCACATACTCTCTATTTGAGTACTAATTATAGTAACTTCTCAAAGCTTCTGTTACCATATCTATAAAACCACATGTACAATATGATCTCCCTTGTGAGCTGACATAAAGAATAAACGAGCAATGCTTTAAAAACTTAGTCATGGTGCTAACAAATATTAAATACCTGCTCACTACTATGCACCACAACTGCTCACACAGCCGTCGTCTCTCACACCACTGCATCAATGGGTACGACTTGTGCCTTGATTTTATGCCTATAAAATGGGAACTCTGTAGCCTACATTGCAAAGTTCTCATGATGATTCAATGAGATATAAGAAAGTCTTGTAAACTGTAAGACTATATAATAAGATCCCTACCCACATAAAGATAAAATACATTATAAAGTAAAGCAAGAAATGGTTTAAAAAGCACTGCATTTGCCACAAAGAACATTTCTCAATGTTCTTTTTTAAACATAAAAGCACATTTAGAAAGGAAAATATACAGAAACCCCCAAATCTGGAATTGCAATATTCAGTTCTCTCAAACATACATGATAAAACTGACCTCTCTCTCTCTCTCTATCACACACACACACACACACACACGTACATACACATTTCATAGTGGCACTTATGCTCATAAAAAATTAAGCCAAATAACTATCATTCTGAAATGATTATGTATACCACAGCTCATGACCAAGGAAAAGCTGCATTCTACATAGGCTCTTGTCTCACGGCACATGCAGCCTCCATGAGAATTCTTTGAAAGGCCAAAGCCCCCACATCTGAGTAAAACCAGATGCTCAGTGATCAACTGAGGGCATCTGGTTTCAAAGGGAGTATTTTGGAGGTTTTCCTGTACCGAGAGGTGGAAGTGCTGGCAAGGAGAGCATTCGGTATATGCACCTTCTTCTCCTGGGCAGCAGAGGGCGCCCCCACTCCACGAGAGATTGCTTTCCCTTCCTGGCCTCCCAGACTGAAAGACCTGTGAACTCCAGACCAGCGGAGCCCCTCTGTTCCCACAGCCATATTCCCCTGAAAACATATTCCCATTCCCAGAGAATTATCAGCACATTCAAAGGAGTAAAAGGATCTGTGGTGAAGGGAAATTGTGTGGGCCACCTCACGGCAGGCTGCCGCAGGACTCAGCAACTCCTTTCACACCTCCTTTACTCCGAGGAGAATTGAGAATGTCTGTGGCAGCAGTTGTGAAGGAGCAACTAACACCTCCCAGGGTCCATAACCCCAAAGCAAGTTTCACTTGGGAATATTAAGTTACAGCCAGATACGATCGACGGGCAGCCGGGCTGAGCTTTCCCAGGATACCAGTCACACAGGTGAAGAAGCAGGGGAGAGTCCATGGCCCTGGCTGGGACAAGCTCAGGCAGGGACCCTGCTGGCCTTGGCCAAAGCAGTCATCTTTCTTAGCACGTGTATGTGTTTGGAAAGTTCTGAGACTGACTCGCACAGTGCAAAGAAACTTTGCTACCTTCTAATGTGATGCGCCAAAATAATTGCAAAACAATTTAAAAACACCATAAAAGGGAAAGTCTTCATAAGGTTGCTGCTCTTTTTCCCTCACTCCATTTAACAGTTGGCTATTCAAATAGCACTAAGTGAATTCTGAGAAAACTCCACATAAAATGGTTTTTGTCAGATTCTCTTCATTCCATTCATATTGCTGAAGAGTCCAGATAATTCTCTAGGAGGCCATCCAGTGAGGACGTCCTTTCCTCCCTGTTTTCTATCCTCCCTGGCCCATCCCATTTTCCTTATGCTATTTTTGTCATCCAGTCTCCTTCAGTCAACACAATATACATTCTTTCCAGATCAGCCAACCATCACGAAAAACAATAAAACAACCCTCCAGACTTGAATCTACATTAGCTAACACGCCATTAACGTCACCTTGCCTCTGTGGCATTGCAAAACCCGGGTGAAATTGACACTGAAGGAATCTTATTATAATGCCCCTCTTCAGGCAATTCAACAAGCTCCTGAAGACTGGCGTATGTGGAATGTATAATAGATTGTTAGGCACTGTGCCTTACTTGTGCACCTGGATGCGAGTGGAAGGTCCTCCAATAACAGGCCTTAGCCACAATCAAGAACCAGACTGAAACTCTGGCTCTGGTACTTTCCACCAGTGTTACCCAGAGTACTTCACTTAAAAACTCCTTGTAGTTTCCATAATCTCAGATATAAAGATAAAAATAGAAAACAATGTAGGTGGTTGAAAGGATTCCTATGTTATAGTCATATTTCAAAAACAGCTCTGGATACTCAGTAAACATAGCATTCTCCTTTTGATTAAAATGAATTGAAAGTTACACAAACTTTCTGAAACTCAGATTTGGCAAATGTACTTACACGCAGAGCGCTCTCACGCATCACTGGCCTAGGAGAAGATCCGATGCTTCATTTCACTCTCTCCACTTCACGATGTCAGCAAGCTTCATGGGGGAAAAAGTAGAAATATATTTAGCTACAAAATAGTGTTCTTTTCCTGAAAACTCCAGAAGAGGCTTCTTCTACCTATTCAGAAAAGTTCCTCATGTCTCTGAAAGTGACCAGACAGGCCTGAGGAAGACTGACTAGGAACAACCTAAGACTTGTGTAGAAGGCTTTGGTGTACACTCTCAGCATTTCTAAGTCACACGCACATCTAGGTCTCTTTCCAGGTAGTATATTGATTACTTGCAGTCAAATTGTAGTGTCTTCAGGCAGCATGTTCCTTTATCATCAAGGAACCAGCAATTTCATACTCCATAATTGAGAGTCACACAGTTTATCAGAATTGATATTCAGAATAAGAGTTTTTAGTTTGAAGCTGAATGTGTTTGATAGATTTGTCTTGAGCCTGGTTGCTTGCTGGGGAAAAAAATAGTACAGTTAAAGTTTCCATATTTTTGCCAGGCGAAACAGCACCTTATGCATTCTTTCAGGAGAGAAAGATATTTCCATCCATCATACCAAGTTTAGAAGACTTAATTCTAGAAATATCATATTGGTAGTTTCTTCTTTTCTGGGGATGGCTACTCAAGGCCAAATGAGCAGTTGTAAATTTATCACCTCATCCCAGAGAAATCATCTGTTTCATAATGCAGGTCACACTGTTACTGTGTTTTAAATGCTCTATTTTTGAATTAGAGGAAAAGATAATGTATCACCTAGTTTTCCATAATGGGTAACAATATTCTTGTACTTGCCTAAATAAAATAAAAGCCAATGCAAACTCCATGGCCATATTTAAATTTTTTATAATAGATTTCCACTGATCTTTATTAATTTTATTTCATACATATTATTTGGAAAGCATTAATGATGTATTGGTTCTTTTACTCTCAGAAAAAAATACAGTCAAACCTCACTTCTAAAACATTTTGGTTCTTGAACAATTCCATTATCAACCAAGTTGTTCTTGGAAAAAAATGTCTAGGTTGTCTGACAAAACTTTGGGTCTCAATTCTCCACCTGACTGTCCTTGCTCACACCTGTATGACAAGTTGCATGTCTCTCAGGTGACAAAGGAGATTCAGTTTTCAAACAAAGTGTTTCTCAAACAGTTTTCAGAACAAATTAAGTTCAGGAACCAAGATTCCTCTGTACATATTTTAAGCTTTTATTCAAATATAAATCCTGAAAATACTGTTTAAATGTTCATAAAATATTTTGGGATATATTTTAAAAGCAACAAATTCTAATTAATTGATAATGGTACGAATACCTCATATCTGCCCTCCTTTTCTGCAAAGATTCTAAAAAAATTTAGTGATTTTTACTCAGAATAGACATTCTGATTCACATCTCAATAAATATGCATTTGAAAGACAGGAGTATTTTGTGCAAAGTTCTGCAATGTGTAGAACCCAAGAGATTCTGTCCTATAGCAGCTCCCGAGCAGAATAGAATCAGTGCATTTGGCAAAACCGAAACCACAACTACGGCACCAGACCACTAATTAAACCTCCTGCTCTCTGAGAAATGCTGAAGAGAATAAACACTGCTAAGACACAGGAAGTGGTTCATTTCACTGGTTCTATATGCATATGTTATCCTAAAAAGTACTATTCCCATAATTTACTGCAGTATCATGTGATTCCAGTTTTGCATGTGGCTCCTCTGTGATGCCTTCTGAGACCGTGTCAATACACCTTGATCCCTCCCTGCTTCCAGATTCTGTAACAGAGTATCAGGAGTGTGACATTTCAAAGTTCTTTCTATTTCATATGTATATATATATATATACTTAAAAGATTTCACTTATTTATTTTTAGAGAGAGGAAAGAAGGGAGAAAAAAAGGGAGAAAACGTCGATGTGAAAGACAAACACTGATAGGTTGCCTCTCACACACCCCTGCCTGGGGAGCTGGCCCTCCACACAGGCGTGTGCCCTGACTGGGAATCAAGCTGACTTACTCTCAGTTTGCAGGATGACACCCAGCCTACTGAGCCAACCAGCCAGGTCTCATATATATTGATTTGTACTCTATAAAAATTATATATTGTTTGTGGTGCAGGCACTCAAAATGTTATATATCTACACAGTTTCTTAAAATGTGATAGCCTTAGAGAATGTTGCTGAACACAAACAAGCCTTTTTAAAATAACAGTGATTCGTGTTGGTGTTATTTATATTAAGAAACCCTGAAAACTTATTTACAGGCTACACTCCTTTAACCACAACTATTTTTTTTTACTTTTCAGCATCCCTCCCACATCTTCCTGAACACTAAGCGAGAAAAGTGTGGTCATTCTAATTTTCTATAAAATCCTGAAAACATAATTTTATAAATTCAAAAACCATAACTTTCCTTGAGTATAATTGTTCATTTTCAATGATGGCTCTGAAGAATTTTATCAAACTATCTAGGGGATCATCTTGAAACCAAATGAACTAAAACATGTACATTAAAAAGCAGAGAGAAATAAAATATAAAAGAAGTATAATTCCTTGGTGAAGTCTGTAGGCTCTAGTACATGATTTCAAGTGGTAACTATCTCCAGAAAAGTTTCATTAATTTTGTGGGAGTACATAGAATGTATTTAAAGTTTTTGTCTTTTTAACCTTGGCATGTTTGTTTTATTATTTTAGTGTAAAAAATATGGTATTAGTGAAGGTAGAAAGTTTTCTTTTGTGTAGTTTAAGAATTATATAAAGAGTCTTGAAGAATTGTAAGATCCTGTAGCTATATGAAAACAAAGATTTTTACCTAAACTAAGTAGCCAGTTAGTTTATATTCATCTTTACCTTTCAAATTCAATAAATAGAATATTTATCCAATTTGTTTCACATAAAAGAGATGGCCACATAAGCATAATAAATGATGCAGTAACATTTTATACACATGAATTTAAAATTACAACTTTTTGAAGAATGTTCTATACTCTATGAGGATTAAGGAATCCTAATTTAGAAATTGAGAACAGGCTGACAGTGACCGGAGGGGAGAGGGGAGTGAACTTCAGGGGAAAAGAGTGAAGGGTTTGCAGGAACAATGATAAAGGACACATGGACAATAAAGGGGGGGGGTGGAAACAGGGGAGAGAGGTAGGAGGACTGGGGGGTGGACTGGGATGAGAGTAAAAGGCAAAAAAACTGTACTTAAACAACAAGAAAAATGTTAAAATAAAAAAAATTTAAGAAAGAAAGAACCTAAGCAGCAAGTAATGTGCACCAAAGCTAAAGAAAATCAATCTTATAAAATTTGTTTGGTTTAAAAAAAGGTGGATGTTAAACTGAAATATGGAGAAACTGTTTTCAACTCCAACATACACCTTGTTCACACACACGCACCCCAACACACAATCGCTATCACTTCTTTGGTTTACAACTACCTGGACTCATGTTAAAATTCACTTTTAAAACATGGACCATTTCGCAGATGTTTCCAGACACAGAACATGACCGGTGGCTATTTTACCCAAAGTCTTCCTTTTTCACCCTAAATCTGCAATCTAATTAATTAGGTAGAAGAAAGATCATAACAAAAGCAAAATGTACATTATTTTAGGCATGTGATTCCTTGCTCACTCTGACTGGAATAAAAAGTGAATCTCATTATGTACCTTCAAAGATGGTTCAATCCACTCTATAATATTTTCCCTCTGGGAAAACAAGAGTGTGGTTAGCAAGCTCAGACACTGTGAACTGCTCCTGCATGGGGAGTTCTCGGCCCAGCTCGGCAGGGTCTGAGGAAGGGGACAGGCTTCGAAACAAACACAGTGAGTGTCGTTTGGCCACTGTGGACCGTGCTACTGGTCCCCACGGTTGTTGTGATTAAACTGTCTTCCGAAGGAGGTGTATGCTGTTCTTAGAAATAATATTAATAATAATCCAGACAATTAAAAGTCCTGAAACTGAATTGAAAGCTCTTCTATGTCCCACCATCAAGGAGGAGTTGCAGGAGAATTCCTGACAGCCAGATGGAGAGGCTGCATCTTCAGACCCTGTGGCCTAAGGTCATGGGGTGAGAAAAGCAAAATAAATGCTGTGTTTACCTAGTGATACCGCATCTGCAGGAACCTGAAATGAAACTCTCCTTCCAGCTCCCGCTTTCACGTCAGAGAAATAAAACACAGGTACAAAATTTAGAGTTGTGTGTGCCTAACCCTTTCTGACCCCTTTAACCTTCAGTTATTAGTAATAATAACTATGACAATAATGGTTATGCCCAGGGCTGGAGGAGTTAACTAGTTAATGTTTATAAAACTTTCTGAACACGGAAAGTACTATTTAAATACTAAGTATATTTTTTCTTTTCTGCCTTCACCCTTTACTTTCATTTCCTTTTTCTATCACAGATCAAGTTATGCTTCCTCCTGTCTGTCTAGTTTTCTCACCGGCCGCAGTCTCTGCTGTCTTCCCTGTCCATTCCCTCGACTCCCCGTCCACCCGTCAGCCCCACGCTTCAGCCTTGCCACCCCCACTCCCGTGCTCCAGGCACTTCTTCATTTTCACTTTAATTTCTTCTCTCCAGCGTTCCTTCACCCACTCCTCACTCTCTTACTCTCTTTCATCTTTCATGTGTATGTTTACCTTCTTAACTTTCCTCACTTTTTTGAAACATCAGTAAAACATTAGAACTGACGTAGCTTTTAATGAAATGTGTCCCCATGTTATGCACTGTTGAGACCGACTGGAGAAATCCAGTGCGTGGTCCCCTGTTGTTCCCTGTGAGACACTTCCTGCTGGACAGCAAACTCCGTGAATTCATAGGCTGTGACCAGCTGGAAGACTGAATAAAATAGTTTGTAATGAATTGCTCCACTCTATGTCATCCTGACAACCTATGAGCTTTCAGTGTCTTAATAATACTATGAATTTTCAAAAGGTGTATCATGGAGAACAAATACTGTGTCAGGGTGTAGGTGGTCTCCCATATACACATCCCACTGCACATGCAACTTCTAAAGGCTTATTGGCCACCAATAAATGACTGGAATTGATCAA